ATGTTAGAGGTAAAAAATTTAAGAGATATGGAAAACTGGATAGAGATCGAGGGGGGAGTTAGAGAGCTTGAGGGATACGTTCCATTATAAATTTATTGAGAGTGACAAGAAAAGTGGAATGGAAATGAAACACTGCTATCAAAAATTGTCTCTAATAACAATGCATAGTGGTGAGTGGTGAGGTTGTTGGTAGTATTATTGGACTCGATTCGGATTGGCCAATTCGATCGATTGACCCAAAAACCAACCATTTAACGAGTCCAAGTTGGTCAATGGATCGAAGATGCTTTCAACCCGGTGAGACCCTATTTGACTTGGTGAGTTTGGCCTAAAACCAATGACTTGGCAAGTTTGGCTAACCCAGTTAAGTCAACAGATATTTTTTTAGCAATACGACGTTCATGGCTCTCCTTTGTTAGTAAGTCTTCTCTGTTTGTCTCTCTCCTATCACACAATTTCAGTCGCACTTCACAACGCTCGTCATCTCTCCTCTCTTGCAGCTACGTACTCTGACAACGATAGTGCAACCTTGTTAGTGTAGCGTGTTTATCATCTTCTCATTGTACAACGACACAACCTTCAACATTTGTCATCATTCGTCATCTATCCTCACCATACAACTTTGCGTTCATCATCTACTCATTGCACGACAACATGACCTTGCTTTAGTGCATGAGTTGTTAACTACATTTTAATTTATTTTTATTTTGTCTATTGATTGCTGGTTGGATTGGGTGGTGGTTGCTTTGGTATTACTTGCTAGTGCATGAGTTTTTAAATTTTTTTTATTTTGTTGGTTAATTGCTTTGATTTTGATTTGATGACTATGATCTTAGAAATTTTAATGTCTCTGTTCATGAAAATTTTATAATATATTTTTACCTATTTATAACATATTTTTTTGAAGCATAAATTTACATGTTGTTAATTATTTATAACTTTTTTAATATAGTCTGAGTCAAGAATAGAAGTATGTGTTACATTATAGGGGCCATGGCCCCCCTTAATTTTTTTAAATTTCTAAAATTATTAAGTTGGATTATTTATTTAGGGTTTTTAAAAAGTGAAATATTACTTTACATAATTTTTCTTCAATCAAATTTCTCTCTATCTTGTATTGTCGGTAAATAATTTATTCTTAATTATGGATCATCTACCTTTTTCACTAGTTCAACTAATAAAGACTCCCAGTAATTATAATTTTCATTGAGGAATTTAAGTACATCCAATGTGTCCCGACACCTTGTGCATGTCAAGACCTTGGCAATTTAATCAATTCTTTCATGTTTTTACTTATTAAATATTTTTTTATTTATTATAATAATAGAATTAGAATTAAATAAATAAATAATACTTATTATTGTTATTTTTTAATTATTGCATCACAAAATTTAAGATATACACTCCCACATCACTCAAAGTCTTTTATTTTATCGTATTTTCTCCTAATATGCTAAAAAATAAATAATAAAAATTTAAAAAGCTAAAAATTAAATAAATATTACTATATTATTTTTCTACAAAAATTTTGTTATATTATTCAATTAAGTTTATGTATCACTTTTTTTTTATATAAATTTGTTAATAGATATATATTTTTTATGCATTATTTAAAAAAATATTGAAAGTCAAATATCTAATAAGTCATCAATTCCACTAGTTGAGATTTGAGAATAATGGGCTGAATTTTAAAGATCGTCCTGAATGAAAATTTATTCTTATATATTGAAAGTTAAAATCAAAAAGATATTTAACATAAATTTTTTAGAGTATGATATAGAATTACAATTACAAATATAAAAATTGCTAAAAAGTTTATTATTTATTCAATTATAAATTATTTCCGTGATTTATAGAATAAATATTTTGTATTTTGATAGATTATTAATCTACTTAACATTTTGAAACAAATAAATATAAATATTTTTATTTAAAATTTAATGAATACTAGTAAGGAAAGAGGTACTTCGTGCCTCTATATATTTATTTTTAAAAATATCTAGAAAAGATAAATTTTATTAAATCTAAAGATAATAGTGTTAAATACAAAAATGAAAACCAAAATGGTAGTTATCAAAACCTATTTCCTTTATAGATATTAGAAGGGTTGAGACACTTCATGCTTCTAATAATTATACACAAACAGAATATTAAAAGATTATGTGTAATTGTTTAAAAAGATATAAGAATTTTTTTACATCTGAGGGGTATAATGGTCCACTAAAAAGTGGAGAACAAAAGTGGTTACATACCTATCCCTTTATAATAGGTATAAATATATTTAATAAAAAACTTTTTTTAAAGTTGTCCCCCACCTTAACTTTCAAGTCTGACTTTGTTCCTGAATCGAGTCATATGAATTAGTAAGTGACTCAGTGATTTAACTTATAACTCACTATAACCCATTAGTCCAACACCTTAATCGACTCACCTATTGGATTGTCTACTAGTAAAAAGAAGAGTTTGTTTTATTATAACGTGGAAAGATACATCATAAAATTAAGAACTAAATAAATTTAATAGCCATTGTTGGTGGTGCCCTATAAGGATCTGTGTACCCTAAAATTCATCATTAAATATAAAGAAAAAGTTAAATAAGAGAATACCAAAATGTCTTTATATTTTTTTTGCTAAATAGGACCCGCTGAACGCAGGAAAAAACCAACTAAATCAGAGAGTCACATTGACTTAGAAAAAGAAGACAAAACATCGGAGGTTCTGACATAACAAAGAAATTAGCTATAGATCTAATAGAAAAATCTGTCAAACTGTCAGCTAAATTGTTAGCTTCACGCACCACATAACATAAGTGAACCTGCCAGTTACGATTGATAAAGCTACGCCCTTGTTGATAAAACCTGTACAAGGGATGGTGCACTGGGAGCCCGTTGTTGAAAGTAACAGACACCTCTCTATAGTCAGTTTCAATACATAAGTTCTTAGTCCCATACTCTCAAGCAATCTCTAGGGATGTTAAAACAACATGCATTTCAACTTCCATAATAGAGCAAGGCTCCAACTTCCGACAAAAACCTCTCACCCAAGTCCCTTTCTCGTCACACAAAACACCCCTACAACCCACTTGAGTACCCCCCTAAGCGAACAATAACATCAACATTGAATTTTAGCCAATCTAAAGGTGGTGGAACCTAGACTGTCAAACGGTCCTCCCCTTGCAAGAGCCTATAATCCCCCACCTTCCAATGTTGATCAACCTCCAACACCAAAAATATAACTTTCTTAATAACCTCCTCTTCCTTCCAAACCCAATTAGCGAAAATGACTTCATTCCTAGCCTTCCAAATAGACCAAATAGTAATACCAAATATTGAATTCCAAAGTATTGATGAGGAGGTAATGTTACTATTAATCCACTCGGTAAAGTTTGATGTAAAGAAGCAACCACCAGGAGACCTGTTATACTCCTTTAACAAAGAACACAAAATCGGGCAAACAAAAGGGTAATCTTTCAATATATGAATGTCTTCCTCAGCCACAGTATGACAAATAACACACAGGTTATCCTCAGACATCCCACAATTTTGGCGACGAACATTAGTTTTAAGACCCCCCTGCAAAACAGACCACACAAAAAACTTCACACGATGCGGAACTTTCCACCTCCAGAACTTCTTCCAACACGTAGTAGGAGGGTCATGACAAGTATTGACTTGCAACAAGGTATAAGCTGACTTCACAGTGAAAGAGCCATCAGCAGTAAGGCTCCAGACCAGTTTATCTTCCTAATTGTTGACACAAGAAGGAGGATGATTAATAATGAGACTTATATAGAGAGGAGAGAGGACTGTTGTAGGCATTGCATCTCTCATTCACCTTCCACATTCACATAATCACACACCTTCCTGGACTCATCTAATATAGTCAGTGAGTGATAAGCCACAGAAAAGAAATTATTTCCCATAGAAAGCCAAACATCCTTCCAAAATCTAACATTGCAACCCAAAATGTCTTTATATTACCTCTATAATAAATGCCTTTTATAATCCCTTTTGTATACATACTCTTAAATTGTATAACTCCTCCATTTTAAAAACCACAAGTATCTTATAAAATGTATCACAATTTAACTATTTTAATGTAAATGGACAATTCATTGCCCGTAACAATGTAACTTCTTTTATTTGATTGGATAGAAAATAAAAAAAAATAAGAATCCAATAAAAGAAATTCAGAGAGAAAATAATTTTTAAAAACAAAAATTAATTTATTCTTTCTTCCACTTTACATTCATTTTTAAATTTATTATTTTTTCTTCTTTAATTTCCTCTCTCAAAATTAAACAGGATAAAACTTTTAATGGATGCTTGATAAACAAAATATTTTACTTTTTTAAGACTGTAATTTCTAAAAGTTTTTCGTGTTTTGTTTATTATTTAAAAAATAATATATTTATGAAATAATTTTTGTATAAATTTTCTTACAAAATTATTTCCATTAAAAAAATGAGAAACTAACTTTCTTAAAATAATATTATAACTTTAATGCGATAAAAATATTATACTACTTTGATTTACTTATTTAATATAGTAAAAAATTCATAATTAATTAATAGCATTTAAAAACATTCTCAAACATAAAAAAATTATCATATATTAAATTTTTTTTATAGAATTTCATAGTTGATTTTATCACTTAATAACTAAAATAATATTTTAAAAATTTCAATGTTTGATTAACACTATGTGACATTTATTTAAACCAATCATACATATTGGTCCATAATTTAAAACATTATTTATTTTGATCCATATTTTAATTTTTTTTCCGATTAAAAAAACCCACCATAAACACAAGAGATATTTGTTGTTAATAATATCCGATTATTTTCATTTTTCATAACTCATATCTCATACGATATCAGAACCTCCAAGATAAGGCGAGAAAGAGTTGCACACGTGTCCTCACACAACCCAATAACTCTTCTCCATGTAGATTTTCATCACACGTGGCACGTGCGACACAAGGTTCTAATATTATTATTATTATTATTTCCGTGACTGTGAGCGGCTAAGTAGATCGCCATGGCTGTGGCTTCACCTTCCGCTGCGTCTCTCTTCCTTCCTTCTTCCGTCAAACTCAATGCTCCAACGCCCAATTCCGTTACGCTCCGTTTTCCTCACCTCAAACGCCGTTATAATGCCTTCAGAGTCGCTGCTTCGGTTTCTCTCTCTAACCCCTACGTGCGAACTGGCCCCGACGATCTTGTCTCCTCCATTCTCTCTAAGGTACAATCCTCCTTTCATTTTTTTTTTATATTTAATTTTTATTTCATTGATCTTTTTTAGGGAAAATAAGATTAAGTTACTTAAAACTTGCATAATAAAGTATATAAATTTTTAAATAATAAAATATAATATTAATAATTAACTATTTGAATCGAATAAAGGACCTTAAAATTTGAAAATTAAACTTAATATTATTTGTTTTGACATATATTAGTAATTTTTAAATTGAGTTATAAATTAACCCCAAACCTGTCGTTCAGCAGTAGGGGTTGATCCACACTTAAATAAGGTCAGGGTTCAATCCTGTCTTGTGTATGCAACCGCGTTAAATCTTGGGGCCAACTATCCTACTCTTTGAGATTGTATTTAATTTATATATATATTATTGAGATAAAACTTCAGAAGATTATACATAATAAAGATACCATTAGATGTCTGCACGTATTAGCAAGATAAAATTTCGATTCTGATCAGAGAATCACGCCAATATATATGGTGTTGTATCTGAAGTTTTGTCCAAAAGAATATTCATGTAATAGATTTTATGTATGAAGACAAAACCTGGATGCAGTTTCCTAGTTTTTTTTTTGTTGAAATTATTCTCTAATTAAAATTGAATTTTTATCTAGATAATTCTCGCAATAAAGGTTGACATTTTACGATCAGAGTTGAATCTTGACATGAAGTTCCAATTTTGATCGGAGAACATACACAAAGTATTTTCCTGTATATTATGAAGGCTTATGGATTGTGTTTGTTTTGCTCCTTTTTTTTTTAGCACTAAGGTAGCTATTAAGTACAAATTACAAACTTGCTTTCGTTTTATTCTGTTTAGCTTTTAGAATATATTTTCAGCACTAAATATTAAGTTTTTGATCAGGTGGTGCAAACAGATGGAGGAGTTTTGCTGAAGAAGGAAGAGCATAAAGAGGTGGCTGAAGTGGCTCAGGAACTGCAGAAGTATTGCGTGAGTGAACCAGTGAAATGCCCTTTAATATTTGGAGGTGAATCCTTGAGATTGTGTTGAAAGTCCCTAACATCTTGTCTTCTAAGTTCAAATTTGTTTTTCTGTATCTATTTAAATTTTGCAAAGAAACTTTAGGGGTGCCTTTGGTTTTCTGTTTTCTGAAATATTTTAGGTGATGTTTTCGCTTATAATTGTAACATACCATATTGTTTTCATTTTGTTTTGTACTCAGTTGTTCTCAAGAATTTGCAAAGAAGATAGTGAAAACAACAAAATGAAACAAAGTGAAATAAGAACTAAAGTGAATATAAGGTAACGTTTTTATAGCTGTTAGTGGAGACATGTGAACTAGAAATGAAAATAGAAAACAAGCCAAATGTACCCTTATGGTATGCTTATCTTGCTCCATTTAATTTCACCCACCATTAGATATTCAATGATATCCTCAATTGTTCTGTATTTTATCTTTTTCCTCTGTATAATGTAGGTGCATTAGATATTATCTAATCGAGAAATGAATCCACTTTAAACTTGGAATCATTCATCTGTGCATTTTTTTCCTAACTGTATTCTAGTCAATTATATGAGAATCATTCAGTTCTTGCTTTACTATTTCTTTCTTGTTTATGCTATCCAGAGTGGGATGTAGTGTACTGTTCCCGACCAACGTCACCTGGAGGTGGCTATAGAAGTGCATTTGGCCGCCTTTTCTTTAACACAAAGCAAATGGTTCAGGCTGTTGAAGCTCCTGATATTGTGAGAAACAAGGTCGTGTTGTCTGTTTTAGGCTTTCTGGATGTGGAGGTGTCACTGAAGGGTATGTCATTTAACTATTTAAATGATGAATGAAACTTCCACTTGCTGATAGCATATCCAATTATCCAAAAAAACTATTGATTGCAAAACTGAAATTTGTCAGTTTTGTAAATTCTGAACTCAGAACCGAAGGAATAAATAGTTACTGGATAGTTTTAAGTTCTTTAATCAATATTAAAGCAAAAAAGAGCGTAAATCTTCACTTTAATAATCCTTGAAATTGTGTTAGTCAGTATAGTCCCTCACACTGGAATTTCATTTTAGTCCTTTCCCACTACATTTTTTGCTGACATTAAGGACTAAAGTAAATGATATTTGGCTACATTTTATAAAGTTAGAAACTATAGCAGAAGTTTTGTAAAGGTAGGAATTGAAGTGTTCAATGCTTTCAATTCCAAGGATGAAAAATGGAGATTTACTTATATTTTTTTTTGTTTGCTTTGTATAGTCTAATTCATTTTTCATTTACCATTAAACTTCTGTGCTGATTTGATGCGTGCCAATGTGAGACAGGAAAACTCAAGGCTCTGGATAGTGAATGGATTCAAGTTATATTCGAAGCACCTGAATTGAAGGTAGGATCATGGCAGGTCCAATATGGTGGTCAGAGTGAAGTTAAACTCAAAATCACTTATGTTGATGACAAAATCAGGTTAGGACTGGGTTCCAGAGGTTCCCTGTTTGTTTTTAAAAGAATATGAAATCAAAATGCAATAAGAAAAATCCTTTCAGGGAAAGTTCTGTCAAGTTTGTAACTTGACACCCTGCACAATTTCATGTATAATATGATTATGACTATATGAGTAGGAGCTTGAAGAGACCGTGTTACTCTTTGGCTAGTTTGTCTCAAAATGGACTAGTGTGTTGGAAGGTGCAAATGTAGTGTAATTAAATTGTTACTGAGACAGTGAGGCAATCCTTCTATTTCTTTACCGGCCTAAAATAGGCACTTTGTGCCTTCATGTATTTTTTTTAAGAAAAAAAGTTGCTTCAACCAATCTTGCTTCCTTCTGCAACTCTTTATGGTTGCTTCCACTTTTTCTGAAAGAAAAATAAGAAATAAAAGTAATAGAAGTTACAAAATAGTGAGGAGTTTATAATAGGAAAGACGTGAGTAATTTGAGGATAGTTACATAGATAAAAATGTTGTAAAGAAATGTGTATCAAAAGGATGTATTGCCTTACTTGGAAAAAGAGAATGATTTTATTATTATCATTCGTACATATTACATTTTCCTTATACCTATTTGTAACAATCTAATATTCCAAAATAAGGAAATAAGGAAAAAAATATTCTAAAAAATAAACTAGAAGATTCTTCAGATATTTTCTCTAATTAGGAAGATTTTCCTCTAATTACAACATTCCCCCTCAAGTTTGTAAATGAATATCAATCATTCCCAACTTGCCTACAAGATCTTGAAATCTACCCCGAGGGAGCCCTTTTGTAAAAATATCTACTATCTGAAGTTCTGTAGGAACATGAGTTGTAATCACAAAGTCTCTGTCTAGATTATCTTTGATGAAATGTCTGTCAATCTCAATGTGTTTGGTCCTGTCATATTGTACTGGATCATGGGCAATGCTCATGGCAGACTTATTGTCACAGTATAGTTGCACGGGGTTGTCCACCTTGACTTTAAGGTCATCCAAAATGATTTTCATCTAGAGTCCTTCACACATTCCTTGAGCAAGGGCTCGAAATTCAGCTTCTACACTAGAACAAGATACTCTATCTTGCTTTTTGCTCCTCCATGTTACCAAACTATCTCCAAGAAACATACAATACCCAGAAGTAGATTTTTTTTCAGTAATAGAACCTGCATAGTCAACATCAGTATATATTTTCATAGTTAATGTGTCTTCCCTTTTGAACAATAGCCCCTTTCCTGGGCTTGACTTCAAGTACTGGAAAATTTTGTCAATTGCTTGCATGTGTCTCACTCTTGGATCATGCATAAATTGGCTTACTACACTAACTGCATAAGCAATGTCTGGCCTTGTGTGTGATAGATAAATCAATTTTCCTACCAATCTCTGATATTGGGCCTTCTCTATAGGAGCACTTTATTCACTTCCAATTTTGTGATTCTACTCTATAGGAACTGTTGAGGTTCTACATCCTAGCTTTCCTGTTTCTTTGAGGAGATCAAGTACATATTTCCTTTGGAAGATGAAAATTCCCTTCTTGGAGTAAGCAACCTCTATTCCAAGAAAATACTTGAGTTTTCCTAGGTCTTTCATTTCAAATTGGGCTGCCAATTTTTCTTTTAATGTCAATTTTTCTATTTCATCATCTCCTGCAATAATCATATCATCCATATAGACAAGCAATAGAGTGAGTTTACCTGTAGAAGAGTGCTTTATGAATAGAGTATGATCTCCTTGGCTTTGTCTGTATCCCAAGGAAACTATTGCTTTTTGTAAATCTTCCAAACCATACTCTAGGGGATTTCTTAAGACCATACAATGCTTTCTTTAGGAGACATACCTTGTTTCTTTCATTTTTCACTTCAAAACCTAGGGGAATCTCCATGTACACTTCCTCTTCCATATTTTCATGAAGAAAGGCATTCTTCACATCCAACTGGTGTAAATCCCAACCAAAATGAGCAGTCAAAGCGAGAACAACTCGAACTGTATTCATCTTTGCCACTGGGGCAAACGTCTCCTCATAGTCAATCCCATAAGTTTGGGTATAACCTTTTGCCACCAATCTAGCTTTATATCTTTCTATTGTCCCATCTGCTTTATGTTTCACTGTAAATATCGATCTACATCCTATTGCCTTCTTGTCTCTTGGCTTATCAATAATCTCCCAAGTTGAATTTCTTTCTAATGCATTCATCTCTTCTTTCATGGCTTGACTCCAATGTTCAAGTTTCATGACTTCCTGGACTGAGGTAGGAATTTCTGTGGCATCAATGGCAACAATAAAGCTTATGTGCTTATCAGAGAGATTGTTAGTGCAAACATATCGAGAAATAGGATATTTAGCGCATGACCTTCTTTCCTTACTTAATGCAATGGGTAAATCCTCAGTAATACTTACCTTCTCACTGTTCCTCACCTCCGGATTAGACAATTTTTCTTGCTCAAGAGTCGAAGTGGGTTGTTTTCTTCTTTCATATTTTTTGCCAAAAAATTTGTCTTCTTCCTCTTTTTTGCTTCTTCTTTGTTGTGGACCATGGTAGCTTCATTGCTCAGGTCTTGGGCATCCTGCAAACACAAATATGATAATGACAAGAAGGAGAGCTCCTTCACTTCAAGTGCTTTCTCCCCCTGAAGTGGTAGACTAACATAAAAGGATTGAGTTTCATGAAAGGTGACATCCATGATGATAAAGACGCGACGACTCTGAGGATGATAGCATTTGTACCTTTTTTATTAGAAGAATACCTAATAAAGACACATTTAAGAGCTTTGGGATCTAATTTACTACGATTAGGATGATGAGAGTGAACAACAACAGTACATCCAAAGACTCGACTAGGAAGACTCGATATTAGGAGGGAAGAGGGAACAAAAGACAATCTCTATAGGACTAATGCCATTTAAGATACAGGTGGGTAACCGATTGATGAGATATGTGGTAGTTAACACACAGCTTCTTCCCAGTAATTTTTTGGAACAGACATTTGAAAAAGAAGAGCTTTAGTTACTTCAAGAAGATGACGATTTTTTCTTTCTGCAACCCCATTTTGTTGAGGGGTGTTCACACATGTTAGTTCATAAACAATACCATTATGAGACAAAAAATTGAGAAATTCATGATTCACATATTCAGTACCATTATCAGACCTGATTTTTTTGATATTTTTTCCAAATTGATTTTGGACAAGACGAAAAAAATTAACAAAGATTTGGAAAATTTCTGATTTATTTTTCATAAGGTATGTCCACGTGACACGGGTACAATCGTCAATAAAGGTAACGAACCATTTGGCTCCAGAAATAGATTCTACGACAGGTCCCCAAATGTCAGAGTGAATTAAATCAAATGGAGAAGTACTCTTTTTATTACTAATAGGATAGGATGCACGATGGTGTTTTGACAACTGACAAATATCACAATTAAAGGACTCAACAGACTCCTTAGTAAACAAATGAGGAAATAAGGACTTGATAAGGTTGAATGAAGGATGCCCAAGCCTTTTATGATGTAGCCATATTTGAGAATTTGCCCACGTCTTGGATGTAGCTTGTTGACTCATGATTTTTGTTTTGTTTTGGTCATCAAATTCCAATAGATACAACTCACTCTGCTCCTTAGGAGTTACAATCGTCTTCCCCGTAGCAAGGTCCTGAAAAACACAATGAGTCGAGAAAAATGTTACTGAACAATTTAAATCTTTTGTGAGCTTTTGCACAAAGATAAGATTATTGGTTAATTGTGAAACATGTAAAACATCCTTTAATATAATAGATGATTCCAAAATTATATTCCCAGAGTCGCATATGGGTACACCTTGACCATTTGCAACTGTAATAAGTTGTTTTCTGTTCCTTTTAATATATGATTTGAAGATCATACGAAAAGGTGTCATATGATCAGTTGCTCCTGAATGAAGAATCCAAATACCTTGAGACACATGACCCACAGTATGGAGAGAATTCTTACCTTTCATGGACAGAGTACATGATCCAGAGGACTTACTTATTGATTCAATCATTGCTTTCAAACGATCTAGTTCCTCTTTGAAAGCTTTCATCTCAAGATCTGATGGGGGTAACGTAATGAATTGATTCGACGACTCTGTCTGTGGCGACAACGATGAGTGTGCTACACCGGAAAAGAGCAAAAACTCAAAAAACTCAGATTTACTAGAATCTAAGCCAAACGGGACGTCACCGACCCGTGGAACGGACTTAGGAGGTTTCGGCGACCGATTCTGTGATAGCGGCGGTGAGTGGGTCTCGCCGGAGTTAGGCGCGTGGGCTACATGTGCCGACGACAGTGATGGCGTGTGGCAGTGTCTTTCCCAGAGCGATTTTCGGCGTTGTGTTCGCCGAAGGAGGGCCCACCTTTCTGCCCTATCAACAGCCCCTACAGTGACGGTGGCAGCTGCAGTGGCTGAACAGCGGCGGCAGTGGCTACTGTTACAGCGAAATCAGAGCTCCCAAGATCGGGAGCTTTGATACCAACTTGGAAAAAGAGAATGATTTTATTATTATCATTCGTACGTATTACATTTTCCTTACACCTATTTGTAACAATCTAATCTTCCAAAATAAGGAAAAAAAATATTCTAAAAAATAAACTAGAAGATTCTTCAGGTATTTTCTCTAATTAGAAAGATTTTCCTCTAATTACAACAACCTTTATATATTGTTATGAATTCTTGAAGGTTAACTTTTTTTGATCGCAATAATAGAACTATCAATTTCATTTATGTTAGTGTCAAAATGAGTTTTTTGGAGAAGTGCCTTTGCAGCTGAAATTTGGGCAAGGTATGTAGGATGTGGGATGATGGAACCTTTAGTGGGGCAAGGGAACACTATCTGAGATGCAACTAGTGCCGAGGGCATTATATTTAATTTTAATTCTACTTTTTGGTTCGATTTGAGACAAACTAGTGAATGGCATATAGTTCATAAGTTAGATGATAACTGGTAGAGGATGACCTTATTAGCTTATTTGGATAAATTTTTCTAGAAATACAGGAAGAGAAAATAGCAAGAAAAAAATGAAATTAACTTTTTTATAAGTTAATTTGTAAAAGTTTTCACTTATTAACTACTCTATTTTTTTATTTTATTTTTTATCTTATGAATAAGTTAATTTTTAGTTTATGAAAAATTAATTTCTTTTTTCTTATAAATGTTTTCGAAAAAGTTTATCCAATTAGGATTATAGTTAATATGTTAATAAATTAGCTAATTGAAATTTGAAGTGTTTGATAGTATTAGTATTTGAACTAGTAAATAAA